GGACAGCATTCTGTCATCACCAATTGTTTAGAGAAGTTCCTTGAGTTGAGTTTTGAAAGATGAGTAGATTTTGATTGATACAAAATCAATCAAAAAATTGATGACTTCTTTGGATTTTCTGATGGGTTTTTTACTCTACATAGATAGAAAGAAAAGGTCCAAGACTGTATTTTCATAATCTCTCCCAGCCTCTTACAGCCCACTACCCTGAGTCTCCATATCAGACCCTGTCTACCACTGCTGCTGTCAAATTTAACTTTAACTACATATCTGAGAGCTCTCCATTACCTTAAGAATACAACCAAAAATACACTGATTTACTTTATTTCATTTACATGTCCTTTTAGGTTATATGGTGCTTTTAATAGAGCTAATGAGAGATGAGTAATTATCTTTCATTTAAAATCTACTTAATGTTTTCATATAGATAAATGTTCTATTTAGTATGTATTACAGGTGGCTGTTTTAATGATTCATATTGCTATTTAAAATTAATTAATTTTAAAAACACAAGCCAAGATTATTTTTAGGCTATAGTCTCTGTCAGTGCTCAGAAATTTATACGTTTTTCAAAGATATTAATAGCTATTTATATAGTTAATTTGGCAATGACTTATTAAAGAAATATATTTCCGTTCTTGGGTCATCCTGAAAGCACTGATTTTAATTACAGCATTAACCTTCAGACACATTTTCCTCTCATTTATAATTAATAATTATACAGTACAGTAAAATCTATAATCTTAGGAGCAAAGCCAAGTAAAATAAAAATGAAATGCTATCACTTTACTTAAAAAATCTACCTAAGTCAGAAGCCTTGTTAGTTTGAGACAGGGGGATTGTGCCAAGGGGCAGGTGCTGTCTCCTGTCTGTACTTATAGCACTTATTGAAAGTAAGTGTTCTAGTTGGGCATGGTGGCTCATGCTTGTAATCCCAGTACTTCGGGAGGCCAAGCAGGACAGATTACCTGAGGTCAGGAGTTGGAGACCAGCCTGGCCAACATGGTGAAACCCCGTCTCTACCAAAAATACAAACATTAACAGGGCATGGTGGTGTGTGCCTGGTCCTAGCTACTCAGGAAGCTAAGGCAGGGAATTGCTTGAACCTGGGAGGCAGAGGCTGCAGTTAGCTAAGATTGCGACCACTGCACTCCAGCCTGGGTGACAAAGAGAGATTCCATCTCAAAAAAAAGAAAAGCAAAAAGAAAATAAGTGTTCCTTACTTTCAATGAGATTTTTGTTGTTTTTGTTAGAATAAAACATGTTAGACATGTTTTATTTCATGTCTAAGGATGAAATTACTGACAAGACCACCTCCTAATTTAGGGATATACAAATATAGATATCAAACTGCATTAACATTCAGAATGTTTTCAAGTACTTTCACGTAGTACACAAATGTTATTCTGTAATAAATGTCTTTCAAAATAGGTTCAGGCCACCTAGAAAAAAATTAAAAGAAACATTTTTTATTTAGAGTATTTATATCATCTGTGCTTTCTAATGACAGACCCCAGGCGCAGGCATTTAAAAAAATGTGGATAAAATCTAAAGATACATGTTTATCTTGTCATGTAACTGAGCCTCGGTTTAGTCTTTCATAAACTGGGGATCAAAATATCCATCTTAAAGGGTTGTCATGAGGATTAAATGAGCTCGTGAGTGCAAAGCCATCATTTTAGTATGTGACACATAGCAAGGGCCTAAGAAATTGTAAATATTACTTATTACTATTTTATTTTTTAGAACTGAATGTACTTAGTCCAATTTTTTTTCTAGAGAAAGTTTTTGCCTGATCACCTGCTACCTTTCCTGCTTCCCTCATGGTTAACTAATACCTGATGTTCCCTCTTAGTCTTTGGTAAAATTGTGAATTTGACAAAGGTAGAGTTAGTCTCCCTTTCTACCACATCTCATCCCTCGCCTAGCTCTGCCCCGATAGATCTCATCCAGCACCCCCAGCTGGTCATGGCCAGCTTCCACCACATCCCTCCAGTGGTGCGGCAGATATTGATTTAAGTGGCTCCGTTAAGGCTGTTCACAGTAGGCTAAACGAACAGGGCTAAGACTCCTGAGATCTTGGTCCTTAACCAGTTCGTTCATTACCTGTCTTTGACTGAGTTAAAGCACTGCTCTTAGACTCCAGACCCAGCATCTGTGGGGTGTTTTTGTGCAGATCAAATTATAATTAAATACAGACACTTTGGGGATAGGCTGTACAGACAGTAGTTGTTGTGAAACCTACTCATCTTTCAAAACTCAAAGAATGCTGTCCTGATCCCCACTCTCCCATCCCAGGTGGAACTGGGTCATACTGTATCACAGCTTCTGTTTGTTTGCACTTCTGCCTCCACACATTAGATATTCTTTGTTTTAGATTTACAAAACTTTTCTGACTTTTACACCCTAGAACACACAGAACCAACTGTGAGTCATATTTCAAAATTTATTATGTGTCATGTTCTGTTATGTTTCCAATAATCTCAAATTGTTCTTTTTTCCTGCAAAAAGTTAAAACATTGAGGAGATGTAATAATTTCAGGACTGGGCCCAAGACCATGTTCTCTGAAGCTCTGAATACCCACTGCCTAACACAGTATCTGATATTCAGCAGGGACTTAACAACACTTGAAAAAATAATTGAAAGAAAATTATTTAATAGAGGACTCAGGAAGATTAAAAACCTTCAAGAGGTAAATGAGTCTCTAAGGGTAAAGAGTCAGATGTCATGACAGTAGGTGAGGAAATAATTTCAGATCTGCTGGCATTCCACAGATCACACTGCATGACACGTTGAGTATTGTTTAAGGGCTTCTCCACACAACAAGGCATAAAACTTTTCAGTATAGTTACTGATGCCAATGTAGACAAGAACTCTAAAAAGCACCCTTTGTCATCATTGTTCTACGATTGCAAGTCTCCTCTTTAAAAGAGCAAAGAAAAATTGTTGCTGTTAGAAAATTCTTTCTTTGCTACACAGTCATCCCTCTGTGCATTTGGGGGATTGGTTCCAGAACCCCCACACATAGCAAAATATGAGTATACTCAAAAACCACCAACCCATGTTTACAAAAAGTCAGCCCCTCCATATACATGGGTTTCAAATCCCATGAATACTGTATTTTCTATTTGTGTTTGGCTGAAAAAAATCCACATATAAGTGGACCTCCGCAATTTAAAGTGGTGTTGTTCAAGGGTCAACTATAGTGAACTTTGGTTTGTTATGACTTTTGTTACCATGAATTTATCCTATATATGAATTCAAATGAATCAAGCTCTTCCTGTGACTCCTGCCCCCATTAGTCCTATATTAAATAACACGGGTTCCAATCTTCTTTAAATTTTCATGCTCTGGCTTCATAATAAAGCTTTATAGTTGGTTTTTATCATTTGTATCACCCTGGGGAGGGAGAGAGAATTGGATGTTCATTTTGCACATTATTTTAACCTCGGCTAATGGAAACTTTAACTTCCTGTGCAGGTCAGCAATTTAAAGTTGGATTGTCTATAGAAATATTTCATTGTGGTTCATCCTAGAGGCTCTAAACTAGGAAAGGAATTGACTGGGCGGTGGGGCGGGGGTGGGGGAGGTTCTCAGGTGAGGGTGTGTGAGGACCTGCTGCTGCTTCTCTGGAGGTTAAGGGGATTTATTACACTCACTCCTTAATGTTTCATGTGCAGAAAGAACTGTGTACATCCTAAATGTTAGTGGTGGAGGACGTCTTTGGCATGAAATATTCTCTTTTTTTGTTGCCAGTGAAGAAATAAAAGTTTTTGGTTGTTTCTTTTCTTTGCTTTCAAAGAGTAGACTGTGGGAACTGTTTTGAGAATCTTGTTTTCCACATCGTGATCTCTGATTAAATCTCATTCACCATAGATATGATTTATATATCACAAATTTCCTATCCCTCACATAAGAGATGCTTGTCTAGGCAGAGTATGTAGAAGTCTCACCCTAACCTCCCACGGATGTCAGCCTTCCCTCCAGGGCGCTCTCTCTCAGTGCTCTCTCTTCACCTCTGCCTAGTTTATCACACTTACCATGTGTTTCCTGGCATTTGGTTGAGTAGAATTCGATCTCCCTTATTAGCTAAGTGTCTCCACTGAGGAGTCATTGCTCGCTTGTGTGTCCTGTTCACAGGTAGGGTGTATTAAGGTGTATTACCAATAAGTGTGAAGTCTTCCAGTTTGCCTGATTCCTACTTTTTAAATTTAACACATAAGAATGAATTCAAGGTTATCCCTATAACAATGTCGCTCTCATTCCCTTGCATTGATTGCACTGGGAATAACCCTGAGGTGCCCATGGGAGTGTATTAGGAATAGGAATGTCATCTGTCATGTGTTGCATGGAAGAAGGAAAAAAACAGATTGAAAAGCACAGTATTGAAGAATAAATTCTTTGATTAAAATGTCTGTGTCTAACTCATTTTGTTACCCACACGGGGCCTAGCATTATGCCTCACACATAGTAGGGGCTCAATAAATGTTTCCAGAATGAGCTAATGAATGAAACCCAATAGGTAAACACATTCCAGGGACATTATTCTGAAGAAGAAAAAAAATACTGCATTTTGGGGTTATTTTAGCATCGTGTTTCAAAAAAGTGAATTTTCTTCTTGTAAAAGACTTCCTATAGGTAGAAATTGAGTCGCACATTGCTTACTGACAGCCCATACCACTGTCCAGACCTATTAGACACAAGGGTCACTTTCATAATCCACCATTGCAACATGCCTTATGTTTTTCTGCCTAGGTGGTTCTGGTAAATTGTCATCACAAGTTATTACCATTGAGTCTAACATATTCTGAAGGAATAGGTGGCTGATACTGTCATTTGAGGGCTAAGAAATATTTGTCTAGACATTTGATCCAATCTGTATTTTTATTTAATGTGTAATTGGCGAGAAAATAGCAAAGACAAATTTAAATGCTTGCATCTCTAACCTTGTCACAGTGTCTGAGCATTCATTCATCATCATTATCTTGGATTCCTGCAGCCAGCAGATTTCATAGGAAAGCAAGCACTGAAACAGATTAAAGCCAAGGGGCTGAAACGAAGACTGGTGTGCCTCACCTTGGCAACGGATGATGTTGATCCAGAGGGAAATGAAAGCATCTGGTACAATGGCAAGGTGAGTGCTGAGGACCTCACTGCCAGTGGCTGTGGCATCTTCTGCAACAGAAACTCGCCTTCTTCCTGTTTCCTCTTAAACCCTTTTGCTATTAATTATTTATTGGAGGGATGACACACTTTTGATTTCTGAGCTGACATTAAAAAATCAGAACGCAATTAACTGAAAGGAAAATGAAATGCTGCTAATTTCTGGAAAACATAAAATTCTATATACTGTTTTTAAAGAAAATAAACCCAAAGACTTGAAATACACTGGACAATGAGGACAGTATGATTTAGAGGATAAAATGATCTATTTGCTCGCCACATCCATGTGTGTAAATGCAAAAGGTGGATTTTATAACAAATTTGGCATTCTGATTTAGCTTTTATGGATTTTTCAGGAGACAATTAGCGTATTAGCAGGGAAAACATCCAAATGAAAGCATCTATGACAATAGAGGGTAGAACCTTAGAAAGTAAAGTGAAAAGTAGAAACCATTTGGTTCTTCAGGAAGAGTAAAATTACTTTCTCATTTTGGAATGTTACTTTTCATTCTTTCTATTTGTATTCAGTAAAACCAGGGTTAGTCAGATAACTTATCAATGGGACTTTATTTTCTCCATTTTTTCTAAGCTTTCTTCACTCAGTTATTTTCTCCATTTTTTTATTACTATTTGTAAAACCCAATTTGGCTCAAACTGGGTGTGGGTGTGTTTTGCCTGGTGTTAACAGGCATGTGTGGGATACACAGCTTAGACCAGAGGGAGAGAATGGGGCCTTCAAACCTCATCTAAACAGCTGTTCCACGATGAACGGGGGTCAGCTTGGTCATTACCCAAGACTCAAAGCTTCTGCGCGCGGGTTTTTTTCTTATTCACTGCAACCTACTTGATATTTGTTTACATTGTCTCCATCTCATCAGTAACACGCAGAGTGCTAGAAGTGAAGAAAGCCAGTGGTGTCAAATCACAGCCTTTGGGGCTAAAGCATGGGTCAGTTTGACATTGAGCTAACATCTACTGAGTTCTTCCTGTATACCAGATATCTTTCATGTGCTCTCCCATTTAACTTTACAGCATGCCTGCGAGATATGTATGAGCATTTCCATTTTAAAGATGAGGCTTTGAGGGGCTCAGAGAGATTAAGTAACTTGCTTGAGGTTACATGGCTAGTGATTGATAGAACTGATTTCCAACCCAGGTGTAGTTTCTGACATTGAATTTCTGGCCCTTTCTTCTAAGGCATGTGGAACACTTCAATTTGATCTCTTTTCTGTCTCTGCTGATGTCCCTTAAGAATTTAATTTTTTTGTAGTTTCTTAAGAATTTAATTTTTTTTTTTTTTTTTTTTTGAGACAGAGCCTTACTCTGTCACCCAGACTGGAGTGCAGTGGCGCGATCCTGGCTCACGGCAACCTCCACCTCCCGGGTTCCAGTGTTTCTCCTGCCTCAGTCTCCAGAGTAGATGGGACTACAGGCGCGTGCCACCACACCTGGCTAATTTTTGTATTATTAGTAGAGACGGGGTTTCTCCATGTTGGCCAGGCTAATCTTGAACTCCTGACCTCAGGTGATCCAACCACCTTGACCTCCCAAAGTGCGGGATTACAGGTGTGAGCCGTCACCCTCGGCCTTAAGAATTTAATTCTATGCCCACAGTTCTTGTGCATCTGAATATCAGGTGGATGATGTTAGAGTCTGTGAAGCCAAGTGACTTTTCTCAGATCTCAAGCACCCTCACCTTTCTGTCAGACTGGATAGGCTAACCTCCACTTCCTTCTTACATTGGGCCGAGTTTGCCCTTCTGTTTGAACGGTTCCTACCATTCTCCCTGTCTCTTCTTTCTCTTTTTGTTCTGTATCTCTTGTTCAGCCGTCTTTTCTTAATATATATTCTTTCACCAATTCATATTTGCCCACAATTCACATGCCTTCTACTTATAACCAGCTCTGCCATTAATTAACTATTTGACCTGATCCTGAGCTGATCTCTGGGCCTCAGTTTTCTCATCTGTAAAATGAAGCCATTAAATGAGGTAACATCTTCTTGTCATTACATTTCCCTCCACCTCATCTTTCCTTTGTTTTATAGTTTTCACTCTATTCCCATTCAGTTTTCTCGGTACTTCTTAATACAGTCTTCACTTACCCTTCCACCAACCTTCTGTTTTACTCAGTATGGAATGAAAGAGCTATGATGCTATAATATTCTGTATTCCCACATCTTCCACAGTCAACTGATTTTTAGCTACCTTAAATATGATGATACCAACATTAGTTTTAAAACCCTGAAAACCCAGGCTCCTTTGGGTTTTCAGCGTTTTAAAGCTTTTTTCCTTTGCCCTATGCATATACTGTATTTTACATGCTATATTGTGAATCTTTCCTTGCCATCTGCTTATAAAGCTGCTGATCCAGTTATAGGATTACATCTCTTGGATTTCCTAATATGAGTTTGCCTGCTCTTTGATGCTTAGCAGGGTCATCATTTTATCATGCAGATGGTCTTCTTTTTGATCCTTTTTCAGAGGCCCTCCTTGGAGCCTCTTTACTCTGGATTGATGTGAAATAATTTTTGCTTTTTATTTTCAGGCTTTGTCTTGACTTGTGTTGCTTTTGGCATTTAGTATTTTATTCTTGCAAGCGTTTCCAGTGCTGGAGATAGGGTACAAAATGTATTTGTTTACTGACTTTTTTTTTTTTTTTTTTTTTTTTTAGTGTCTACTATATGCCAGTGATATTCTAGGCACTGGGGATATAGCAGTGAACAAAACACTGGCCTCATGGAGTTTACATTCCAGGGGAGGGAGAGATAGATGATGGACAAAATAAATAAAGTATATTGCCTGTCAGATGGTCAAGGTCAAGTCCAACTGGGAACTGGGCAGTGCTGGAGAAAGGGATTATAACTTTAAATGAGGTTTATTTTTTTTTAAATAAAGGCATAAAGATGGTCCTGAGAAAGGCTTTCATTATATTGGGTGGCTAAGTTATAAAAGATGCTTAGCTTGGAAGAAACTTTTGAAGAAGAGATTTGTGGAGAGGTTTGGAAAGCTTAGAAGGTTTTCTTTTTTATTATTTGTAAACTAAAACACAGAGGGACAGTCAAAGAAAAACACAATCGATTATCAAACGTAAATTATATTAACTTCCTTCAAAGGCCATTTGCCATGTTATCTGCTGGAAATCAGTTAGAGACGTCTCATAATTTGAGAGAAGAATGAGAAAAGGCTAAAAATAAATGAGAATTATTCCCACTGGTAAAAAGAAGGTCAATGTTTGTTTTAACAAAGAATGACAATTTGCTAGGGAGAGGGTAGGGACAGGTTGTTCTCACAGTTCACTGAACTAAAAGACAGAATGGATCTAATTGAACCTGAAAGATTTTAGGTAGAACAATTTAAAATTTGTGCAAGGGAAAACATTTCCCTGGAGATTCAGTAATAAGGTAAAAGGAAAGGCCAGACTTCTGAAATACCCTGGGCTTCTAACCCCTGGATTAGAGAGAAATTAAAGTAGAAATGAAAGTAAATTTTAGCAGAAAGCAAAGCAAATTTTAAAAATAGCACTCATAAATAAGGACTCTATTTTTTTAGGTTACTAATGCAGAATGACTGCAAGAGAAATCACTGCTGGGATGCTGGGAGACGAGAAGGGCTGAGGAAATGGTGCATGTAGTCTTCTAAGAGGGATTGCAGGCTTTTGACCCACGATCAGGGGAATCAGGGGATCACACCCTGAGACTAGTGCAGGTCTCTTCCTGTTTTCTGAAGATGTTCAAGCAAACCAGGTTAACTCCCTCAGGGCTCCAAACCAAAATTTCTCTCTTACAGATGGGGAAATGAAACCAAGGTTACCAAGAAAATCTTTCAAAAAGCAATGATTAAGCTGGGTGTGGTGGCTTACACCTGTAATCCCAGCACTTTGGGAGGCTGAGGTGGGCAAATCACTTGAGGTCAGGAGTTAAAGACCAGCCTGGCCAACATGGTGAAACCCCGACTCTACTAAAAATACAAAAATCAGTGGGGCATGGTAGTGCACACCTGTAGTCCCAGCTACTCAGGAGGCTGAGGCAGGAGAATCGCTTGACCCAGGAAGGCAGAGGTTGCAGTGAGTCAAGATTGTGCCTCTGCACTCAAGCCGGGGCAGCCGATCCATGCTCCGAAAAAAAAAAAAAAAAACAATGATTAGGCACAGCCACAGAGCTGCTCCCAGGTCCACACAACTGAGGACTGAAGGGGATGCAGAAAGTGACCAAAGGCAGAATGAGAAAATTGAAGCAATGGCAGCCATTGGTGGTGAGGAATAATGTGTCATTGATGACTGTGCCAAAATATTTTGCATTGGAATTAGCGACGATATAAAGGACCCCAAATGGACACTTTGCTTGCAAGTGATGTGACCAAATGAGTACCCAGGTACAACTCCGCCTGTTTATCAGTTGAATGCTCATTGGCTTAAAGGACAAGAACTTGTCCATTTATTGGAGATCCTTGAGGAAATATATATGTGGCCACCCCATCTGGTTCAGCGAGAGTACCCTCTTTGTGTCCCTGGGATCCAGGCCAGGTTTATTTTCCTCCCAAAGTATTGAATAAGAAAATGACAGAATACTGGTGAAAGTATCTTTACCTGTAAGTGGAGAAAATAAGAGATGTTCCAATACAAAAATCTCAGATGACAGAACCAGGCTCACATGTAAAGAAGGAAACTGAAGAGGAGGATGTCGAATGTGAAGATGATCTCATTTTTGCAGGTCAGCCAGAAAGTTCGGTGAAAGCATTGCATTTTGATATCAGTGAAAATCAAACAGAAATAGAATTATCTCTGATTGATCATGGCATTCCCGTTACAGACTAAAGAAGTACTTTGCAGGCAGACTTGGCTCCAGTATTTTGTCCCAAACAGGTGAAAATGTTTCTTTCCAAATTGTATGAGAATAAGAAAACAGCTAGGACCCCCCACAACATCTGTGCCTACAGAATACATTGTGAGGATAAACAGACCTTCTTACAGGATTGTGAGGATAATGTGGAAATAGCAGCCGGTGGGCATTTTCATTTCATGGAGATTTTAAATGTGAAGAATATCATGGTGGTAGTGTCACGCTGGTATGGGGGGATTCTGTAGGTCCAGCTCACTTTAAACATAACTGTGCCAGAAACATACAAGTGGAGAAGAACAACACACATTCACCTGAAGAATCATCTAAGGCTTTGGAAGAAAACAAAAAGTGTTCATCACTGGGTAATGGATTAAGTGAAAATCTGGGAGTATCCACCTGCAGTTATGTGCCGAGGTGAAAATTCTTCCAATGTATTTGTTAGTGTAAATATTGTGCCTCGATTTCTGTTGCAAATTGGTGATTGTGAAATTTTCAAAAGCGATTTTCTGGTCTCTGCTTCTTTGTCTAATTCTCATAATATAAAGCAATAAACATGGACTGTCAGTGATCTCCTTCCACGCCAGAAAAAAAAAAGCAATGATTAAAACTCTAATCTCTCTGACCCTAATCCCTGCCTGTATCACTAAACTATGATCTAAAGGAGAAAAGCAATTTTAAAGCACGTATAATATCTTGGCAGTTAATAATCAGCCAGAGAGAAACTTTTACTAATGAATGTATTCACATTTGTTGTTTTTATTTTCAATCAACCAGTTTCCACAGTAAGTTTAGAAATTGTATGGAGAGCTTCTAATTTGGGGTTTCAAAGAGAGAATTAAAAACTGGGACTACAGAGATAGGAGTCTGCAATTAAAGTCATGAATATGTTAGCAAAATACTACAAAGTGCTGTAGTAAGATTGTTAATTGTAGCGTGCTCTTTGCTGAGGCAGCTGAATGATCACCAGTCTTGAGCTCCGGCTATGAGCAGTCCATTGTGCCAGACAGCAGGACTGTCAGGATTAGTGCAACGTTGTGTGGCCAGGAGAAGCCATTTTGAGCAGGGCTATATATCATGTTTTTCTTTTGTTGTCTTCCTTTTATTTTTGTTCCATGTAATGTTTTGATGACAGTTTTCTGTATTTCCTGCTTTTCCTTCTTTTTATTTCTTTTCTTTAGACCTGATTTCCAGTAACCTTATCTTCTAATCAAGCTTATTATATAGACTTTTTTTTTTTTTTTTTGAGACAGTCTCACTCTGTCACCCAGGCTGGAGTGCAGTGGCCAGATCTCGGCTCACTGCAGCCTCTGCCTCCAGGGTTCAAGCGTTTCTTCTGCCTCAGCCTCCTGAGTAGCTGGGATTACAGTCACACATCACTAAGCCCAACTAATTTTGGTATTTTAGTAGAGATGGGGTTTCAACATTTTGGGCAGGCTGGTCTTGAACTCCTGACCTCAAATGATCCAACCACCTAGGCCTCCCCAAGTGCTAGGATCACAGGCATGAGCCACCACTCCTGGCCTAAACTAAGTATTACTATTTTTAAAAAGAGAAATTTCAGAGTCATACAGATGTGTACCTTGAGAATTACTTTTCATAATTTGTAAACTTTCATTAATTTTCTCAAAATGTGATGTTTTCGTCCTGTGTCTCTGGTGTTGTCCCGCCAGACAGCATTTCATAAAACTTCTATTTTGCAAGCTGAATCTGTATTTTAGTGTTTTTTTCCACCCCTCTAGAGATAAGGAGCACAGAGCTGTGGCCGAGACACTGAGGACTGTTGGGTCTTGTTTTCCAGGTGGTTGGCAACACGACATCTGGAAGCTATAGCTACAGCATCCAGAAGAGTCTGGCTTTCGCATATGTCCCTATAGAACTAAGTGAAGTGGGACAACAAGTGGAAGTTGAACTATTAGGCAAAAATTACCCAGCAGTCATCATACAAGAGCCTTTGGTATTGACTGAACCAACCAGAAACCGGCTTCAGAAAAAAGGTGGAAAGGACAAAACTTAAAAAAGACCTTTAGCTGTCAACTGAATTTGAGTTGCTAATGACTGTCTTTGAAATTATTATAATTGGTTTCCAGGGGAGTCAAGGAAACCAGAAATTTATTTCAAAATCGTCAAAGCCTAGATTTAGAATCTTAAAGATACCTTTCTGTTAAGTGTTTTCTAAGCAAGACAGAATAATAGATAAATGATTTATATTGTTCTTTTAAATGAAGAAATTTGAAATGAATTTTTTTTATTACCCCACATTACCCAATCGGCAAAACATTTAGGTGTTTGCCAATACATACGATCATTACTATAACTGAGTTAAAGGACATTTTATAATTTTAGTAACAAATGCATGTGGTTCTTGATAGCCAAAAACAAATTAATAAATTATCTTTTACATAAAAACATATAAAATATCGCTGATGGATTTACTTCACTGAGAAACCTTTCCTTAGATGAATAAATAATCGTTTTAATTTTTCATGATATATCTGTGATGAAAATAGTAAAATTTAACATTGACATATAGCCAACATTTTAATTCAATTCTCTGAAATATTTATCATTTTCTTAATGACTTCCCTGAAAGGAGCTTTATAGGACATTATTATTGTCCTTTTAAAGGTTGTTTTAGAAGAGAAATTGCAAGAAAGAACAGAGTCTTCTAAAGGAAGCGGTACTTGTAAACTTTTAGAAATGAAGCTGAAACATAAATAGATTGTGCCAGTACAAACACAATTTGAATACTGAACACCTCTCTGTGGGAAAGGATTAATGCAAGTTGACATCACATGGTGCCATTCTGAATATCATTTCACAAAGCATTTGACAAAGCAGATCAAACACAAGCTTCAGAGCTGACAGATTGTCCTTAGCGCTAGGTACAGCAAGAAAAACAATCCATTTAGAAATTATTCTTTGATATACTTTTTGAAATCATCTGGGTGTAGTTGACTGAATAAATCAATTTTTTTGTAAAGGGTGTTTTATCATTTATAATTAATTTATACACACATACATTTGTTATACATTTATAGAACTTTTCCTAAGCATTAAAAAAAACCCAAATGTGAAGCATAAGATTGTGTAATTTGAATAAAGTTTAAAATGATTTCTTAACTCGTATGTTTTGAAAAGGTGCCAAATTTACATTTTAAATGTTTTATAACAGTAGTTACATATTAGAACTTTTCACAGGTTAATTTTTCTTTGGCATATCCTCTTAGATGAGAAAAGAAAGAAATCCCTTTGATGATAAACAAATTTCCTAATTATTGGGAATATTATCTAGGTTCTCTAGTCCAGTTCATGTTAGTGCTAGGAATTTGGAGTATCTTGCTTTTTTGGCTGGGAATTGGGATATCTGCTTCTTATTCTCTACCATTCTATAACCCCATGACCTTAGGATAGTTACATACCATCTCTGGGCTCCTCCTCTGTGAAATAGGTTTAGACTCTTTTTTGGATACTATAATATCAAGAAGCAATAATGAAAGTAAAAAATAGACCATTCAGATGAATGTTAAAATTTTAAAGAAATCTTACCCAGAGTATAAAAGAAGTTTACCCCGATTTCCTTATGAAGTTGCCCTCGTTCTCTCTTTTGTTGTATGTTAGGTGCTATTAGGTTTTGTAGGTTACCCCAGCACCTCGACTCATACCCAGCCAGTCGTCAGGTTTGGCACCAGCCAATTCATCCACTGGCTATGACCTTCAACACGACTTGGCCATGGAAGGATGAGACGAGTTAACCAGATTTCTTCCATGGGAATTTGGATTGTGAACCATCATAGGAAAAACTGATTAGTACTAAAAGCTGAAGCTGAAAAGATGGATAGAAATAGAAGCCATAAAGCCAAGAGGACAATGAGAGCTCCTGATAAGCAGGGAGACACAAAGAAACAGAATGAAAGACCAGTTCCCAAAGCTCTTGGCTCCTGATGGCCGGTTCTTGGGTGAGGACCTTGACTTAGAAGGGCCCAATTCAAAGCACAGCTTCTGAAAAGTGGAACATATGCGGAGAGAGGCCTCAAAGGAATGGGTCCAGGGCTAGTGTCAGCCATGAACAACAAACAGCCAGCATACTTGAAAACACTCTGGTGATGTGCAGAAGTCTGTGTCTACAGCTCAGAAAATCAGTCTCAAGAATGTTATGATGAATGATAGGCACTTTCTTCCCTTGAGTGAGGAAATCTTTTTGGAACTGCAAAAACAGTTCCTAGTCAACACATTATCAAAACATTTATGGGTGGTGTTATGTTGCTAATGTTGATATCCTAACTAATCTGTGTGTTTCTTCTTTTCTACTTATAAGGAAGAATGACAGAAAAAAACATTTTACAGTATACCAAGTGGGACATTATATAGCAGACAGATGAGATTCTGGAATTTTACTGAGAGGGTTTTGTGCATATTTTAATTGAACAAAAGGAAAGGTTGATATTAGGAAACACAGCAGTTGTGAAAAGAAGAAAGTTTTGGCTACACAAATAGCATTCTTTAGCTAAAGTCCCAGGAAAGCAGAACATGAAAAATCAAATTAATTATATATCCTTCTTCTGATGAATCTGCATGTAAAAATATAAATACCACCCTATTTTTTTTATGCTGCTGTCATTAATGAATTAGAATAGTAGTAGTATATTTAGTTTGTTTTCTGTTGCTATAACATTATGCCTGGGTCTGGGTAATTTATAAAGGAAAGAGGTTTATTTTAGCTCGTGGTTCTGGAGGCTGTGAAGTTCAAGACCTGGTGGTTGCATAGGGTGAGGGCCTCGTGCTGCATCATAGCATGGCAGAAAAGCAGAATTGGTGAGAGGGCATGCTTGCAAAAAAGAAAAGGGGGCTGAAATCCTGCAATAGTTAACCCATTCTTGAGAGAAAGACATTAATGAGAAAGGCCATGACTGAGATACCTCCCACTAGGCCCCACCACACAACACTGCCACATTAAGGAATGAAGCCTCCAAAAAATGAATGTTTGGGGAAAAATTCATAACATGTATGGAAAGCTGCATTATGAATGATAAAAGGGTAACACATTATTTAGTTGTATTTTCTCCAGGAAAAGGTTTTAGAAATATTAGCATGCCATGAAGCACAGAGTTGGTGGGGTGATACAAAAGCTACTGGGCTAAAAATCACAAGACCTGTTTTTTCCAGGTCTGCCACCAACAAGCACAGTCTACATAACATCTACTTAAGCCTTTCCTGTATTTTAAGTTCCATAAGTAATTGCTTTCCTTAGTATTCATTCGTTTACACATGTTTGTTGAATACACACTATAGGCCAGGCACTGAAAGAGCAGTGGTGAACAAGACAGACATGGCCCTGCCTTCATGAAGTTTATAGACGACAGAGATCAAGCCTTTAACTAAAGAAACAGTGAGATGTTTAATTGCAAATCAGAATGTAATGAAGGCCAAGGTGAGAAGGAGGGGATGGCTAACAGTGTCAGAAGATAAAAAGATGTCTAGTAAGACTAAAGGCTGAAAAGTGTCCCTCAGGTGAAGCAGAGTGGTCATGAGTGCTACTGGCATGAACAATTTCAGGATACCAGTGAAGGCAAAAACCAAACTGCATTGAAAAATGAATAAGAAATAAGGGTTAGAAACAGGGAACAAGTGATCTTACTATCCAGGAGCAGTTTCCTGATAAGGTAGGTTATAATGGGCATCAGTTAGAAAGCATTTAGCTGCAAGTTAAAAAAAAATACCATTAACAGTAATTTAAGCATGATTTATTTTATGAATTCACATAACAAGAAGTCTGGTGGTAGGCTCCATAACATCATTAAGTATCTCAGTTCTTTTTTATCTACCCTACCAAATCTTCCCGCCCCCCAATTTTAATCTCATATATACATGTATATGATTAAACTGGCTTTAAATGAGCACATTTTTATTGCCCATGCTTTAGCAAACATTGTATTCAAAAGTAAGTTAATTTGGAGAACTCTCAGTTACACCAAAAGGCCTCCAACACTCAGATTCAGCTACATGCATTCATTTTGGGAGTTCTTAACTGCTGGAATCATTCAGACTCACTACCTTCTTTGCCTAACTTTTAGAAATTAACAGTAATATTGGAGATTATTCCATATCATCCTTTTGTCATACGATGTAACTATTTTTATTTTTTTAATGTAAGTGCTCACATTGGTTTTAAATACTTATGCGTGGTTGGAAGGAGTTGGCTTGGAGCTGATGCTTAAGAAATGGGTATACAATGGGGGCTGGGCACAGTGGCTCACACCTGTAATCCCAGCACTTTGGGAGGCTGAGGCAGGTGGATCGCTTGAGCCAGGAGTTTTGAGAACAGCCTAGGTAACATAGTGAAACCCCCGTCTCTATTAAACAAAAAATTTAAAAAGAAATGGGTATACAATATAAAATGTCCCATACAGAAAAAGACAGATGCAATTCAGTAGTATATTTTGATTATTGTGCCAACTCTAAAACTCAGGCTGTTTAAAAGGTAAGGAAAGGAAAGAAGCAATAGGATAAAAGGTCACACCAACATCCTGTTTCTTTATCTGACTGGTGGTTACATGGTGGTTACTGTGATGATTCCTTGACCTATGTACACTTTCATGCAATTGTCTTATGCACAAAAAGTGCTATGCCAGAATATTTTTATAAGAATGGCACTATTTTCCACTATCTTCTCTCTCTAGTTAGTTTTAAGGAAGTAGGAGGTGATAAGCAATGGGTGGGATGAAGGGGTCAAGGGAGTTTCAGTTTGAATTGGCCATATGGCTCTTATTCAGACTATCAATTTCATAAATTTGGAGAATTTCAGAACTAAAATAAATCTTTCTTTTTCTTTTCTTTCTCTGACCCTTTTCCTCCCAATGTATACACGTACACTAACTCGGAGAACAAATCAACAATAAATTGAAGATACTTCTTACAAAGAATTTGTTTGTTTGTTTGTTTGTTTGTTTTGAGGCAGAGTCTCACTCTGTTGCCCAGGCTGGAGTGCAGTGGCGCAATCTTGGCTCATGCAACCTCTGTTATCTAGGTTCGAGCAATTCTCCTGCCTCAGCCTCCCGAGTAGCTGGGTTTACAGGTGCATGCTGCCACGCCAGGCTTACTTTTGTATTTTCAGTAGGGATGGGTTTCACTATGTTGGCTAGGCTGCCCTCAAACTCCTGAACTCAGGTGATCCATCCACCTTGCTTCCCAAAATGCTAGGATTACAGGTGTGAGCCACCATACCCAGCCAGAGAATTACCTTTCTATATGCTTAGAATCTTGATGGTTCTTAATGCATTGACAGTAGTTAGCACTAATGCATAACTTATATTCATTAGCTAAAAGAAGGATAAAAGGACCTCAAAAACATCTTTAAAAGTTTGGTTTATCACTTTAAAGGCCTTTAAGAAGACTCGCCTCCTCACTTAGATATGGTTGTAACAAATCCATTCCTACCTTGTTTCTAAAACTAAATAGATCATAAAAATAATTTAATAGCTGGCATTTCAACAAAGTTTAGTCTTCTTTCTGATGCTCAAGTCTATCTCCTTCTGGACAGTTCAGGGTGGTAATGAAGCAATAAGTAACAACAACCACAGTTTGCCACATGTAGCTCGTGAACTTCAGGTTTTCTCTCTGAAGAAAGACCTATTACCATGCTTATCTCTCCAGCTAGGAAGCTCTGGTTATTCTACTGCAATAGTTAATCATTTAGAGATAAAGTATTTTAAATTGCTTAGTCTTTGTATGTAATATTTGTCATATTCAAAGGCATTGCAACAAAAACAGGAGAAGCACCAAGATGCAGGAATCATGACCTCTGTAGCTGACAACCAGTCAGCAGAAGCCAAGAACGTTGCAAACCGCAGCTATCAAGAGGCAGGGCGTTAGCATTCATGTGATTCTCTTAGTGGATGGCCTGCAGGCTTTATTGGGGAAGACTTATTCTTGGCTCTCTGTTCTCAATTATAATGAACTTTACTTTTCGTCAACTAGGTTGCTACCATTATTATTATTTGAAATAGATGATATATGTACAGAGTTTAACATTTAGAAGGTATAAAAGTGTATATGGTGAAAAGTTAGTCTCTTTCCCATCCCTGTCCCCAGTTGACCAGTCTATCCAGAGACAACCAATGTTACAATTTCTTCCATAGATTCTTGAAATACTCTATAAATATGCATGCACCTCTCTCTCTCTCTCTCCCCCTATATATATATATATATATATGCATATATATATGTATATGTTTAAGCAAATGAGAGCATACCAACCATACTGCCATTTGCCTAACTTTTAGAAATTAAA